CTATTTTGCACTTTTTGTTCATAGAAAAATCATATAAAGGGGACAATTGTATTGCTTGGACTTTAAAAAGATATAATGAACATTGCAGTATAAAAATAATAACCATTGCATTTGATATAATGTCTTTCACGTCAGGAGAACATCTCAAAACATTTCACAAGGTTTACTGTAAAGTCAGTGATTGTATTTGTAGTAAATATGTGCAGTATTCTCTTGGGAAACTCATATCTTACTGACTCAATGTGATTATTTTTGAAAGAAAATATTTGTGGGATAAATGGGTTTATCGCCAGGCTGCACAAGTTCCCTATCCACCAGTGGATCAACTTTAACATTTTTGTCCTCAACCTATCTCTGGGACATTCTGTGATCCTATTTCTTTGGTCACTCTCCACGCTGCCAGCTCCAGGCTGCTTAATGCCCCCATTGGTAGGTGAGCTTTCAGCCACTTTGTCCCTTCCCTCTGAAATATATTTTTCCCCCCCAAATCCCTCTGCCTCACTCCTTCCTTCTCTATTTTCAAATTCCATCTGAAGAATGACTTTTTTGGCTGTGTATTTCAGCCTCTTCTCCCTCTGCCATTCACCCAGCTTGTGATTCTGCTCAGTCTTTGCAAAACACTTTGAGATATTCTCCCAACGTGAAGGATGATATATAAATTAAATTGTTGTTGCAGTCTCTCACTATATTATGAAGTAATTAGAATAGTTGGTAGTGGAGAATTTGATTTTAGCTTGAATCTGGATGCCCTTGGAACTACACGGTATACAGCATCTTTGATAAAGTGAGGTCTTGGATTGTTCTAAGATTTGCGTTATTCACTGCATTATCACCCCATCAAATATAGGTTGGTAATTCCGCTTCAAATAATAAATTTGAGTCTAATTCCTATCTAATTCCCATCATTTCTCTGTCAAATGTGTTTGTATTATTTGTGGATGTTGCAGAGTAAAGAAAACAATGCAAGGTACAAGACAAAGCCAATCTCAGCACCAAGTGTTCACCAGCAGTCTGAACCACTATCATTGGGTGAAGAGTGCTATATATGTATTATATAGTGCAACTTGTTGTTTATGTTCACTTTTGCGCAGTGGTTTGTCTTGTTTTCTTCTCCACATTTGGAACACTATTGTTAAAAATAACCATCTTTCCCAGAATTGAGTCCTACCAAATGAGCCAAGCCGACTATTCATAGATTCATAGAATTATATAGCATAGGAGGAGGCCATTCGGCCCATCTTGTCTGTGCCAGCTCTTTGAAAAGAGCTACCCAATTCAATCCCACTCCATTCCAGATCCGAACAACTTGCTGCGTGAAAACATTTCTCCTCACCTCCCCTCTGTTTCTTTTAACAATTATTTTAAATCGGTGCCCTCGGTTTACCGACCCATCCACCAGTGGAAATAGTTTCTCCTTGTTCACCCTATCGAATCCCCTCATAATTTTGAAAACTTCTATTAAGTCTCCTCTTAACCTCCTCTGCTCCAATGAGAATAATCCTAGCTTCTCTACCTCTCCTGATAACTGAAGTCCCTCATTGCTGGTTCCCTCCTGGTAATCTCCTTTGCACCCTCTCCAATGCCTTGACATCCTTCCTAAAGTGTGGTGCCCAGAACTGAACACAGTACTCTCGCTGAGACCTAACCAGTGTTTTATAAAGGTTCATCATAACTTCCTGACTTTTGTATTCTATGCTCTTATTTATAAATAAAAGTATCCCATATGCTTTTTTACAGCTTCACCTACCGATCCCGCCACCTTCAAAGATTTACTTATATGAACCCTCAGGTCTCTCTGTTCTTTCACCCCCTTTAAGATTCTGCCATCTACGGCCTCGCCTCATTCTTCCTCCCAAAATGCATCACTTCACATTTCTCGACATTAAACTTCATCTGCCACGTGTCCGCCCTTTATACCAGTCTGTCTATGTCCATTTGCAGTCTTTTTCTATCCTTCTCACTGTTTACTACTTTTCCTAGCTTAGTATCATGTGCAATCTTGGAAATTGTACTCCCTATACCCAAGTCCAGGTGATTTACATAGATCAAATACAGCAGTGGTCCCAATACTGACCCCTGGGGGACACCTCTGCACACTTCCCTCCAGTCAGAAAAACTAACGTTCACCATCATGCTCTGCTTTCTGTCTCCCAGCCAGTTCTGTATCTATGCTGCCACTGTCCCTTTAATACCGTGGGTTTCTATTTTGCTTACAAGCCTCTTATGTGACACTTTATCAAACGCCTTTTGAAAATCCATATAAACTACATCAACTGCACTACCTTCATCCATCCTCTCCGTTACTTCATCAAAAAAGTATCAGGTTTGTTAGACATGATTTGCCTTTAACAAATCTGTGTTGGCTGCCCTTTATTAACTCATATTTTTCTAAGTGAAAATGTACTTTGTCCCGGATTATAGTCTCTAGATGTTTCCCACTACTGACATTAGGCTGACTGGCCTATACTTCCTGGGTTTATCCTTCTGCCCCTTTTTGTACAGGGGAGTAACATTTGCAACCCTCCAGTCCTCTGGCACCACCCCGGTGTCCAAGGAGGATTGAAAAATTGTTGCCACAGCCTCCGTTATTTCCACCCTTACTTCCCTCAGTAACCAAGGATGCATCCCGTCCGGACCGGGTGACCTATCTACCTTGAGCACTATCAACCTTTTCAGTGCCTCCTTTCGATTTATTCTGATCTTATCCAATTTCTCTACCCTCTCCTCGGATACTGTGGCATTGGCTGCATCCTCTTCTTTTGTGAAGACAGATGCAAAGTACTCATTACCCTCTGCCTCCACCAGATTTCCTCCTTGGTCCCTAATTGGACCCACCCTACCTTTGACTAACCTTTTATTCTTTATATGCTTATAAAATACCTTAGCGTTCCTTTTTATGTTACTCGCTAATCTTTTCTCATGCAATCTCTTTGCCCCTCTTATTTCCTTTATCTACTGAAGGAGATATTTCCACAAGCTTTTCACTGTCAAAGAAAAAAAATACTGAACTAATCACCTCTTTTTTTAAAAAAAGAAATGTGTTGTGATTCTGCAATGGTCTTGCAATCTACTGCCCTGTCTCCCTTCCAAACAACAGATCCGGTGATTAAAAAAACACAGGTAGTTTTATCCTTAAGTTTTTGTTTACATTTTGTGGAAAATTGTTTCAGCAAGGGTTGGACTGCTGATAACGTGGAGGTGTGAGATTTGCATCAAATTTGCTATAACAGCAGCTAATTTGAAGTATCTGGCAATTTATTAATCCACAATTCGCAGAAAAAAAATTCCATTCAAGTTCCTCGGAGTTCATCGTCATCCCTATAAGTGAAGCCACTTAGCAATGCTGGATATCTGGACATCATTATGGCCTCCTGGTACCCCTCTTCCTCCCCCCCAAAAAAAATTTTTTTGCATTGCCACATTCTCGCTCCTAAAACAAATCTGCCTTGAATCAACATCTTTAAACCCCCTTTACTTCTTTGCTGGGTATCAACCTGCCAGGCACCGTCGAGATGTCCTTTTGCAGTGAAGGGCAATGCAAATAATGATGACTGCAACGAAAGCACTGGGGAATGCAAGTGACCTGGTCTCAACTTCTTGAACGTGTGAAACCATCAAATTTTAAGTTCGCGTAAGGATAGATCTAAAGATCTCTCTCTCTCTCTCTTTCTCTCTGTGTGTGTCTCTGTCACTCTCTTTGGAAATTCGCCCTATGCATCGAGCAAAAAAAAAAGCAGCGACTGCAGCCCGACTGATGTGACCTTGTCAGAGGGGCTGTGGCAGGAAGGAAAGGGCATGTGATGTGATGTGTGTGGAGGGCGTCCTCGGGCGGCGGCGGCTGCTGCTGCGGCGGTTGAGTGCAACGACAAGAGAGAGAGACACACACTACACTACACACACACACACACACACACAGAGGGAGGGAGGGAGAGGGGGAGAGGGGGAGAGGAGAGACCCGGGTTCCTGCTTCTACACCCGAAGGAAGGAGAGCGAGAGAGGTCTCTGCATCTGCACAGAGAGTCGCAGAGGAAAGCGCCGGCGCCTGGCGGTGGAGAGTGGCGTTTTCTTCCGCGTTGTAGCAGAGCGGCGGCGGCGGCGGCGGCGGGAGAGAGAGAGAGAGAGGGAGAGACGGGGACCGACAGCGCTCGGCTCAGAGCGGAGAGGAGAGGAGAGGCAACAGCGCAACACAACACAGCACAACACACGGGCGGCACTGGAGGGAAGGCACCCGAACAAGGCACCAGAGCCCGGCACCGGCACCGGCACCGGCACCGGCCGCCCCCCTCAGCAAGAAGTCAAGAGCAAAGCAGAGGATCCACCTTCTCCACTCCCCCCACTCCCCCCCTCACACACACCACACACACACAGGAGCCCGTGGAGGAGGAAGGAGGTGACTGACTGACTGACTGACTGATGGCCGCCGACTTGCGTTGAAGAGGAAGTTTCAGCAGCTGAAGAGAGAGAGAGAGAGAGAGAGAAGAAAGAGAAGGAGAAGAGAGAGAGAGAGAGAGAGGAGGAGAGAAGAAAGAGAAAGAGGAGAAGAGAAGAAAGCGAAAGAGGAGGAAGAGAGAGAGAGAAAGAGAGAAAAGAAGAAAGAGAAAGAGGAGAAAGAGAGAGAGAGAGAGAAAGAGAGAAAAGGAGAAAGAGAAGGAGAGAGAGAGAGAGGAGAGAGCAGAGCTGTGCGAGAAGCCGCTGAAGCCAAACCCTGGCGAGGAGGGACCCCCCGCACCGCACCGCACGGCCCTGACCCGCTCCCCGGCTGCCGGGAGCTGACCCTCTGAGAGCCTCTGGTGCTGTACCGAGCGGCCGCGGGTGCGGGTGCGGTGCTGTGCTGTGCGGTGCTGTGCTGTGCGGTGCGGTGCCCTCAGCCTGCAATGTGGTGAGGAGGAGGCGGCGGCTCTCCCTCTCTCACTCACTCCCTCTCTCACTCTCTCACTCACTCACTCACTCCCTCTCTCACTCACTCTCTCTCTCACTCCCGCAATACCCCCTCTCTCTCAGCAGCGGATTATATTCGCAGCCAATTATTATTATTTATTTTTTGCGTTGACGCTCCAGGACGGTCCGTCCGGATTTGTTTTGCAGGGCCGCTCTCCCGAGCTGCGTGTGTGTGTGTGCGGTGCGGGGCGGTGCGGGGCGCAGTGCGGTGGCGTTTCCCGACAAGAAATCGTCCTCTCTGCCCACATACCGTCGTGTGGTTTAGATATTGGATATTATCTCTCTATACCCCTCTACGAGGAGGACGCGGCGCCGTTGATCGGGGCGGAGGGTCGGGATGAGCAGCAGCAGCAGCATTTACGCGAGTCGCAAGAGGCGAAAGCCAGTCCAGAAGAGGTGAGCGGATCGCGTCAATGTGTCTGTCGCCCCTCATGTCTCCAGCTCCGCACCCGCACCCGCACCCGCACTGCCCACCAGCCCACCACCCCCTCACACTGCACCCACTGCCCCTCACACTGCACCCACCACCCCCTCACACTGCACCCACTGCCCCCTCACACTGCACCCACCAGCCCCTCACACTGCACCCACTGCCCCCTCACACTGCACCCACTGCACCCACTGCCCCCTCACACTGCACCCACTGCACCCACCACCCCCCTCACACTGCACCCACCAGCCCCCTCACACTGCACCCACTGCCCCCTCACACTGCACCCACTGCACCCACCACCCCCCTCACACTGCACCCACCAGCCCCCTCACACCGCACCCACCACCCCCTCACACTGCACCCACTGCCCCCTCACACTGCACCCACCAGCCCCTCACACTGCACCCACTGCCCCTCACACTGCACCCACCACCCCCTCACACTGCACCCACCACCCCCCTCACACTGCACCCACTGCCCCCTCACACTGCACCCACTGCCCCCTCACACTGCACCCACTGCCCCCTCACACTGCACCCACCACCCCCTCACACTGCACCCACTGCACCCTCACACCGCACCCACCACCCCCCTCACACCGCACCCACTGCACCCTCACACTGCACCCACCACCCCCTCACACCGCACCCACCAGCCCCCTCACACTGCACCCACCGCCCCCTCACACTGCACCCACTGCCCCCTCACACTGCACCCACTGCACCCACCACCCCCCTCACACTGCACCCACTGCCCCCTCACACTGCACCCACTGCCCCCTCACACTGCACCCACTGCACCCTCACACCGCACCCACCACCCCCTCACACTGCACCCACTGCACCCACCAGCCCCCTCACACTGCACCCACTGCACCCACCAGCCCCCTCACACTGCACCCACTGCACCCACCAGCCCCCTCACACCGCACCCACTGCACCCACCAGCCCCTCACACTGCACCCACCACCCCCTCACACTGCACCCACCACCCCCTCACACTGCACCCACCACCCCCTTACACTGCACCCACCACCCCCTCACACTGCACCCACCACCCCCTCACACTGCACCCACCACCCCCTACACTGCACCCACCACCCCCTCACACTGCACCCACCACCCCCTCACACTGCACCCACCACCCCCTCACACTGCACCCACTGCACCCACCACCCCCTCACACTGCACCCACCAGCCCCCTCACACTGCACCCACCACCCCCTCACACTGCACCCACCAGCCCCTCACACTGCACCCACCAGCCCCCTCACACCGCACCCACTGCACCCACCAGCCCCCTCACACTGCACCCACTGCACCCACCAGCCCCCTCACACTGCACCCACTGCACCCACCAGCCCCTCACACCGCACCCACTGCACCCACCAGCCCCTCACACTGCACCCACCACCCCCTCACACTGCACCCACCACCCCCTCACACTGCACCCACCACCCCCTCACACTGCACCCACCACCCCCTCACACTGCATCCACCACCCCCTCACACTGCACCCACCAGCCCCCTCACACCGCACCCACTGCACCCACCACCCCCTCACACTGCACCCACCACCCCCTCACACTGCACCCACCAGCCCCCTCACACCGCACCCACTGCACCCACCACCCCCTCACACTGCACCCACTGCACCCACCACCCCCTCACACTGCACCCACCAGCCCCCTCACACCGCACCCACTGCACCCTCCAGCCCCCTCCCACTGCACCCACCAGCCCCTCACACTGCACCCAGTGCACCCACCAGCCCCCTCACACTGCACCCAGTGCACCCACCAGCCCCCTCACACTGCACCCAGTGCACCCACCAGCCCCTCACACTGCACCCACCAGCCCCTCACACCGCACCCACCAGCCCCCTCACACTGCACCCACCAGCCCCCTCACACTGCATCCACCAGCCCCCTCACACCGCACCCACCAGCCCACCAGCCCCCTCACACCGCACCCACTGCGCCCACCAGCCCCCTCACACCGCACCCACCAGCCCCCTCACACCGCACCCACCAGCCCCTCACACTGCACCCACCAGCCTCTCACACTGCGCCCACCAGCCCCGCACACTGCACCCACTGAGCCCACCAGCCCCTCACACTGCACCCACTGAGCCCACCAGCCCCTCACACTGCGCCCACCAGCCCCCTCACACTGCGCCCACCAGCCCACCAGCCCCTCACACTGCACCCACTGCACCCACCAGCCCCTCACACTGCACCCACCAGCCTCTCACACTGCACCCACTGAGCCCACCAGCCCCTCACACTGCACCCACTGCACCCACCAGCCCCTCACACTGCGCCCACCAGCCCCTCACACTGCACCCACTGAGCCCACCAGCCCCTCACACTGCACCCACCAGCCTCTCACACTGCACCCACTGCGCCCACCAGCCTCTCACACTGCACCCACTGCGCCCACCAGCCCCTCACACTGCACCAACTGAGCCCACCAGCCCCTCATACTGCACACACTGCACCCACCAGCCCCTCACACTGCACCCACCAGCACCTCACACCACACCCACCAGCCCCTCACACCGCACCCACCAGCCCCTCACACTGCACCCACCAGCCCCTCACACTGCACCCACCAGCCCACCAGCCCCCTCACACTGCACCCACCGCCCCCTCACACTGCACCCACCAGCCCCTCACACCACACCCACCAGCCCCTCACACCACACCCACCAGCCCCTCACACTGCACCTACCAGCCTCTCACACTGCACCCACTGAGCCCAGCCCCAGCCCCTCACACTGCAACCACTGCACCCACCAGCCCCTCACACTGCACCCACTGAGCCCAGACCCACCCACTGCACCCACCAGCTGCTCACAACACGGCTTGATCTTATCTGCCTGTGTGTGTTTCTGTCTGTGTGGGTGGTTTTGTTTTATTTAGGGACCATGTATTTGCTCGCTTGTGACCCCGCCGCCTCCTTGACCCTCGCAATCCGCTCCCCAGGACGTTATTGTTTGCGCTTTTCGTTTCGGTGTCTTTTCAGAGCTTGTGTCTCACATTGCCAACCAGCCACAGTGCAAGTGACTGCTTTTTTTTGAAGAGCCCAAATGGCTTAGACTGTGATATGGGGATGATGATGATGATGATGATAATAGTAGTAATCCTTGCATTTGATAAAGCACCTTTTATAGGGGGCGCATCTCAGGCCGCTTCACAGAATTCACTGTAAAGTGTAGTGGTTGTGTGTTTTGCAGCCTTCTTACTTAGTTGTTACTGATCAGAAGTACCGACTTCAATACGGCTCAATATGCAGCACTTTGCATTGTGCATTATACACATTTTGTTGTTCTGGCCTCTGTTTTAGTATTGGATAGTGGTTTTGAGACTGGTTAATTTTTTTGTTGACATTCTCAGCTTTACAAGTGTGTTGAACTATTGTATTTAAGTACATTCTTCAAAAAACAGCCCTGAAAATCTAACTGTTCAACCCAATAAACAAAACCTACCATTCACCCTAAACCATAGATCTTATCTAAATCCACAAACTTACCAGAGGCTTGAACAGAAGCACCTTTGACATATATTCCTACAACCAAACCCCAAAACCATACCCCTAAATAATAACCCATAGTGAGTATAATGAGAAAATGAATTTGAGTTTTTTTTGTATAATGAAGAATGATGTAACTGGATGACCCCACTAACTAGTAATCGCTGCTAAAACCATACATGACATTCAGCAGTGCCATTTATCAGCAGCGAAAGTGTTGTGCACTCCTTTTAAAATGAATGTGAATGTTGAATGTTTATTATTTCACTGTGAAACTATATTGAGAGTTTAGAGAATAAAGCAGGTTTCATTAACAAATCATTTCCTCATCTGCATGTGCAGCCCTCGTGTGTCTAGTTTGCCCTTACAGTTCTAAGTTTTTTTAGCTTTATAGCTATCTTTGCTTTTTTGAGGAGACGGGAAGTGAAGATAATCATGTTTGTGACATGTAGGCTTGATACTTTAATGTTTTTCTTATTTAATGGATGTGATCAAAGTGGGGGGAGGGGGTAGAGAGCGGAGTGCTCAACTTTGTGCTCATTTGATATGAAACTATTTTAAATCTATCAATTTGAGTACTTTTCTGATGCGTAAATGAATAAATACGTGGCTGCATATGTGGAGCATTGACTAACTTGTGAATTTATAGGCAAGTTTCTGGTGTTGATTGAATTTCTCTATATTAATAACATAATAATAATCTTTGCATTCAATATAGCACTTTATCACAGCTTCGACATCTCAATATATATCATAATAATAATTCTTGCCACTTGATATAGCATTTTGTCATGTTGCTGATATGTCTCAAAACGCTTTACATGATTTTTACTGTGAAGTGTAGTTGCTGTGTATTTTGTAGGCAAACTCTGAGTTGTACTTGAAGATTTTCTTCAAGAATCATTGGCAAAACCTTTTTCTCCTACACATGTTTGAGACATGCTGCTTCTTTCCATAGAAGCCTTTTTAAAAGTATTTTTATATTGAGATGTTTCACCTGCCGTTTTGGGTTAATTCCTGACTTGCTCATAAGAGTCACTAAATCTGTGAGCGGGTAGTGAAAATTGTAAGCATGTCACCCCACAAAATCATATATAAGTGGCAGGATGTTGTTTTGTATCAAGGCTGAGACAGCTTATTTGTCTTACAACTTTTCCAGATTTTTTTTAACTATGTTAAAGGCCTGTTTTTTTAAACATGTAACTCTTAGCTTCTAACTAATTTCTTCCAACTTGCAAAATACTTTGATCCCAAGGACACTTTTATAATGAGGGTGCAGTATTTGTAAAATGTGTAACAGTGCAAAACCATTGAAACTTCTTATTTCATGGTATTTATGTCATTAACTGGAAATATGGCAGGACTGAAACTAAATTGAGTTCTGTGGTAAGGCAAAATAGATCACTGGTAGCAAAATGCCCTTAACCCGT